GAAGGAGCATCCCCAGCTCTCTTTGGCGCCGCTAAGATAGGACGCGGGGGTGACTCCTGGCACCAAATGTTGCACCTGTGGGACGTGGGCAGTGGGTGGGTGGCTGCGGAGGGGGAGAGCTGAGAAACCTCCTGCAGGAAGCTGCTCTGCTGGGCATTTCATCAAAAAAACCAAAAAACCCTTTCCTGACTACCTGCAGGAGGCTCGGATGTGGAGGTAATACCTTGGCCCCAGATCTCCCATCGCCTGATGCCTCGCTGCTGTTGAGCAAGAGCCGGGGGTATCTCAGGTCCCAAAGTGGATGCAAGAGCTCTTCCATGCCGCGGTGCTGCCAAATGCAGGTGCTGTCCCCGGCACCTCTCTTCTCCCCTCGATCCCCGTGGTGGGGGGTGACCTTCATACACCCCAAAAAGAAGAAAGGGGACTGCTACCTCTCCAGACTGCAGCTGAGCTCAGGGGCCAAAAGGACTTTTCCACTAAGGTATCAGGACCAGAAGAGCCCGGAGCAAAGGACCACCGCCCTGGGTTGCATCTGAGACCAAGCGCTGCAGCCCCAGCTGAGATCTGGGTTTGGCGAATGCCCCAAACTTCAAATACCAGCAGCGCAGGAGGTGTCGAGGGAGCTCAGGGGATGCGGGACACGGCTGATCCCGGACCCAGCACCCTCGAGTGATCTATTTTGGGTGCCCCAGGAGATGGCTCAAGAGAGGGTCTGGCTCCAGACCTCCTTGGGGCATCTTCCGGCCAAAGGGTCGTTCGGCTGCGTCTTAACCAACCTGCTTTCACCGAGTCCTGAGCTGCCAGTCCCCAAAGAGCAAGGCTCCCTTCTGGGCTGTCTCCTGCCAGTCGTCGTGCAGGGTGGAGCGAGGCCCGGTCGAGGAGGCGGGCGGCCAGGACTCCTGGGGTCTGTGGCCGGTTCTGCTGCAGGGACCTGGGGCACGTCCCGTGCCTCAGGTGCCCCCTCTGTAAAATGGGGTGATGATACTTTCCTGTAGCAGGAAGACATGGGGCTGGGAGGGGACATTCTTGAATACTCCTGGAGGGACCAGAGCAATGCTCATGGCTGAACCGGCAGCCTGATGGCTTCAGAGGAGGTGCCACGGGCAGAATGAGCTCCACTCACACCCCTGGGGACAGTCGGGACTGATACACCGTGCTTGTGCCCTGCCTCTCCACCCTCCATCATAGAAATCATGGAAAATGTGGGTGGGCAGGGAGCTCAGGAGGTCACATCTAGTGCAACCTCCTGCTCCAAGCAGGACCAGCCCCAACTACAACATCCCAGCCACGGCTTTGTGTAGCTGGGTCTTAAAAACCTCCAAGGATGGAGAGCCCACAGCCACAGCCAGGGCCCCACTGGAGCCACCTCCCAGGCAAGTGGGTCCCCATCCTCGGGCATTTTGCTGGGCTGCGAAGCGGGGCTCTGGGCAGATGGGCAGGCGCGACCAAGCCACGCTGGCTGCTGCCCGGGTCTCCGAATGCTCTTCGTTCCTCCCGAAGCCGGTCTCCCAGGAGCCAGTGCCCGCGGCGCGCGTGTGCCTGTGTGCGAGTGCATGCGCAAACACCCGTGTCTGCCTCTGACCCACTTAACGCTACCGGGTTACCCGGGTCGCACCAGAGGGGCTGTTCTACATCACTTACGCTTAATTAATAGAGAACAAGCCCTCCTGGCCCCTGGGGCCTGGCTCCCTCCCTCCCTCCCGCTCCGCAGCCCGGGGGTTTCCAGCACGAAGGCGCAGGAGGCAGGCAGGGATGGCTCCTGTCTCAGCGGGAGAAGGCAGCTTTGGGGGGCTGCTCACCCCCAAGAAAGCTCCAGGAGCAATGATGCCTTTGAGTGGCAAATGCTCAGCCTCTTGCTCGCCGCTGGGGACAAGATCCTGTGCATGCGAGCCCATGCTCCGGGGGTTTGCTCTTGGGAAGGCAGTGAGGGACCCCCGAGGGGACATCGGACCTCTTTGGACTGAATGGCCATTCTCCCAGTGCTGGGCATCTGCAATCCCCTGTCTGCCCCCGTGCCTGGAAAGGGCCTGATGGCACTTGGCTCCTGCCAGCCTCCAGCAGGCCTCTCCTTGCTGGGCAAGGACGCGCGTCTTGAGAAAGGGTCGGGAGCCAAGGAAGTGGGGGTGATAGTGATTTGGAAGTGAAGCACCCACACTCACACCCATGCCTGCGAGATGGACAGAAGAGACCGACAGACCGAGCGACGTCCCGTCCCTGGGAGCATACTAGCCGGCCGTGGCAGTGCCATCGCTGCCTGCCAGTCATGCCAGGTAGGGCACTTCACAAAGTGCCTTAGGGGGTTTGCCGGGGGGTGCGGCCCTCGCTGGCCCGGCAGCACATGCAAAATGTTAATGTGAGAGTCTTCAGAAATGAACAAATAGGTTAATTTTTAATGCTCATCTAAATAATTTAATGAGGAAAATCAAGCTCGGGCGGCCAGGCGGGCTCAGCTTCGTAAATCATTAGCAGAAGTCCCCGGAGCGACGTGTGCGTGTGTGCGTGCACAGGACATGCATGTGCACGGGTGTGCGGCATGAGCATGCGGGCATGCATCTATGTGCCTGGGTGGTTCCTGCATTCATGTCCAGGTGTATGCGTGGCACACCTGTGTGCTTCTCTGCATGCATGATGTCCGCACTGCCTGCGTGCATGGGCCCCTGCACCCAGTGGAGCATAAATGAACCTGGCTGCCCATGTCCGTGGGCCTCGGCGTGTGCACACGGATGTTCCCCAATGCAGCGGGACACGGCAGCTGCAGAATGACAGAGCTTTTGTCCTCCTAGCTCTTGCCCTTCTCACTGGGTGGCCAAGTCACCCCCCCCAGCACTAGGCCTCAGTGCGTCCCTCTGTAAAATGGGGTTAGTGATGCTCACCCACCATTGCCAAGGGCTGTGATGCGAGTACTAGGCTGAAGCGTGGGTTGTTCCTTTGACTGGCAATGGTGGAAGTCCCCACGAGGCCCTGCTGTCTCGGTCTACCAGGGGACTTCTGCCATGAATGTGGTGCAGGCTGGAAGCATTAAGCTCTCCGGCTGCTCGAAGAGGCTCTCGGCCTTCTCCATTTCCACCCACGTCTCCTATCGCGGCGAAGGGGAAGCCAGGCTACCAGGTCCCCTCGTCACCGCTGCGCCGCGGGACTGGGCTGGCTGGAGAGGGTGGAAGCAGGAAACGTGGCTGTTGCAACCCCCCTCGAGCTTATGAGCGCCCGTGCAGGGGGGCCGCGTGTCCCGTGGTCAGGCTGGCTGTGGCTGCAGCCCCGTGCCCGCGAAAGCAGGTGCCGCCGGTGTGCCGGGCTGAGGATGAGACGGGCCCGTGGCCGCGTGGCGGTCGGCAGGGGGGGGCAATCCACGCTTGCTCCATCACCGGCACCTGGGGGGGCCGACCTGCCTCTGGGGTCTGAGACGTGGCACTGCTGGAGAGATTGCCGGGGCCGGTTCGGGGGAGGCGCGCCGCCTTGCTGGACCCGGCGAGACGTCCCTCCGGGATGCGCGGTGCCCGGCGGGGAGAAGGGGGCTCGGACCGCGGGGGGTCGCTGGGAAGCCGTGGGGGGGGTCTCTCCTGCCC